TACGCCGACCAACCGGCATATTCATTGTACATTTAGAAATTGAAATATTAGATTGAGAAACCGTAGACTGTGTCAACTTCTTTCGCGCTCGGTTTCCTCCCTACGTAAGGCAGCTTTTCGGCCGCCACAATAGGGATCTCGCGGAATCTGGGGCGCGAAGTTCGGCCGGAGCGTCCAGAAACCCCGAGGAAAAACGAAGCTCGGCCGCGGGAAGCCTGCGGAGGCTGCTAGCGCGCTGGCCGTAGCCGGTAATTAGGCTAATTGACTTAATTAATTTAATCGGCTTCCTATTCCGTGCGGCGTCTCGATAAATCTCGGAGCGAGCGGCTCGTTTCGGAGAACGGGGACGGCAGTAAAGTCGGTTAATAAACGTCTTGGGCAAAAATCAAAGCGCGAGAGTCGAGCCGCCGTTACGGAATGATTATTGCGTTTAGGGTGAAGCTGATTGGATGTTGTTTCAATGTGGACTCGCGAGTAACGAGCGTCGCGGTGTTTAACGCGGTTGAAAGATGGGGATGCTAGCTTGAGGAAACGTGACGTGCGCGGATATTGTCGTTGACGTTAATGTCTTTGAAAGTGGCCGATTGTCTGGGAGTGAATGCTGGTGATGAGGTGTTTGTGGGAATAGTTTTGAGTAGGTGTCGGGGTGAGCGATGGAACAGAGAATTTATGGGATTAAGAAGTTTTTGTGGGAATTAATATCTTTGACAAGGAATATTTGTTATCAGTATGTATGAGTAAGAAGTATCTATGGGAATGAATATCTTTGAGAAGGAATATTTATTGGGGTGAGTATTGATGGAACTGAGGATTTATGGGATTAAGAAGTTTTTGTGGGAATTAATGTCTTTAACAAGAAACATTTGTTATCAGTATATATGAGAGTAAGAAGTATCTATGGGAATGAATATCTTTGGGAACGAATATTTATTGGACCGAGTATTGATGGAACTGAGCATCTGTGAGAATTTATGTATGAAGTAACAAGTATCTATAGAAATAAATATCTCTGAGAATATCAAGTGAATATTTATGAGACTATCTATAGTATCAAATGTCTCTAAAAAAGAATACCTATAATAATAAGTACCCATAGCAACGAACACCTACGAAACACCCATCAACACGAAGAAACTGTCAATAACAAAAACACTGATGCCAATTTACCCGGAAACCCTTCACTTTCCACGAGTTAACTCCTCCGAAAGAACCCAATTCCCGGCTGCGAGGGTGGCTAATTCGATTTACCCTCTGGTTACTCATTCCTCTCGAATTGTCCGCGATAAAACAAGCAAGCGCCCGAATCCTCTAAGTGTCCAGCAAACAAGGACAATCCCGGTTACTCTCTAATTCCATCTTCCTCCCTGGAACGTCCGCCGCGCGAGCGGAGAAGCTGAAACCGAGAAGAGTGCGCGATCGTATAAACGAATAGCGAACACCGTACAAAACAAGCGGGAGCAATTAAATCGCTTTATTCCGCCGGCGAAATCCGCTCGGCCGATTTATCCCGCGCGCGAAGGAGAGAAACGTTGCCGCGTGTCCCGATTTCAGCGTCGTTTACCGTCATCGGTCAACCGGCGTGTCCCGATAGCGCAACGGCGCGAGCCACAATAAACGCGCAGGATTTCATCTCCGTCTGGCTCCGAGTTTCACGGAGTTTTAGCGAATAAAATAAACGGCGCGGCCCCGGTTTTCCGCCCCCGTTCCGCTGCGCTCGCTCTAGCCGCGTGTTTGCAGAGGCGGGCGTGTTCCGGGGTTCGCCAGTTTATTCGCCGAATCCGGATCAGCTCCCGGTTCCACCGATCTCCTTCGAGCGCGGCCATCCAACATGCAACGCGCAGGTATAGGGTGGCCAGAGTTTTCTTAATTTTTTCTGATTTTTGTTTGATATGTTCGTAAGATTCATAATTCTTGTTTGGGACCACTTTCCTTGGTTTCTGAGGTTTGTTCTTATTTGTTGTTTAGATCTAGTGTTTTTCATTTGGTTTTAAGCTACTACTAACGCTTTAGAAACGAGGGTTTCTTAAAATTTTCAAAGCCCTTAGTAGAAGAACGTGCAGATATAGGGTGGCCAGAGTTTTCTTGATTTTTTGCGATTTTTCCTTGATATGTTCATAAGATTAAGGATTCTTGTTTGGAACCACTTTCCTTGATTTCTGTGGTTTGTTCTTATTTGTTGCTCAGATCTAGTGTTTTTCATTTGGTTTTAAGCTACTGCTAACGCTTTAGAAACGAGGATTCTTAAAATGTTCAAAGCCTTAGCAGAAGAACGCGGTGGCTAGAGTTTCCTTGATTTTTTGCAATTTTTCCTTGATCTTTCGTTTGATGTCCTGATTTTCGTAAGATTCTTTCTTAGGACCGTACTTTCCCTGATTTCTAATATTCGCCCTTATTCGTCGAATCTATCGACCACAGGTTTAGAATTTTCGGTGCTATCGTAACTTGCTTATTTTATAACATCCATCATTATTATGCTCGGTATTCAGTACTAAAGATCTAAGATTCTCAAATCTTCATCAGTCTCTTCGACTCATCATTCGGCGTTAAGGAACCAAGATTTCCAAACAGTCATCATTTCACCACGCTACAGTTGACTAAAACATTTCGTTTCTATCGTTCCAACGAAGAGCACAAAGATATAAAGAAGATCCCCTAATAGAAAGCAAACATTTCACTGAGGAATATCCGCAAATATTCCCTTTCCAACGTACGTTGCCCACAATCAGTGTGCCAGAGAACACAACGGTCCAGAGTTTGAAAACTATGGACACGATATATCTCTTCCTTTTCCCTCCGACCTGTTTCCCCGTTCCCCTCCGGTTTCTTTAATCTTCGCAGACTCCGCCCCGGTTCCCAGCTGCGTCGGCCGGCCGAACCGCGCGCGCACGCACGATTTCTCCCGGCAGGGGAGCCACCCTTGCGTTCGGCAATCGACTCGATCGGAGATCGATCCGGTTCCACGCATCCGTTGTCCGGCTGCCAGCTGGCAGCATGCCCGGAAAGAAAAGCGGCGGAACGGTCTGCCTCCGCCCCCATAGCTTCTCGCGGCTCTGCGGCTGCCAGTCGCGGGAAAAAACCGCATACGTACCGCGCAAGACGCACCTACATAGATTTCACCTAGCGATCGCGATTTCAGTTGCGACGTTGTTTCAGATATTTATTTTGCACGTGGCTTAAGTCTATTTTTCAAGCAGATCGAGTTAATCGATGTAATGCTTACAATTCTGAATAACCTTTTCATTTTTTAATGGGTTTTCAATGTTTTCTAAGTGGACCTAAGCCAGTTTCAAAAACGGTTTAATGCGAAGGAAGATAATTTAGTTCTTTGCACTTGAGAGATTCACTGTTTGATTCGATATAAGATTGCAAAGTGTTATATATAATATTAACTCTTAGCACTCCAGGTTGTTTTGTAATCTATCAGCAACTGCAACTAATTTTTATAGTATTCCTAGCGAAAATTAGAAATGCTATAAGATTTCGTCGATCTTTTATTTTCTTTAGTACGAAATTTGGATGTGTGAGAAATCGAATAATTTTAGGATGGTTTCTTTAAGATTCATTAAAATATTTAATATTAGAACTGGTGCAATATTGGAGCCTACAGAGTTCAAAGGGTTAAGTTTCGTAGAATGCATCAATATATGAAATGTTTGTGTAAAATAGTAAAACGTTTTCTCATTAGTCCGTTTGAAATGAGAACTCCCGAGTACAAGAGGTTAGAGGATGATTGGTAAGCAATGATCGCTCTAGTTCTTGATGCTTCGAGTCCATGAGTCAGTGAAGGTATGGAAGAATTGGGGACATTGAGTCTTCTACTGTATTGGGGGATGTATAATAGTTGAGTTTCATTTGATGGTTAAGTAATTAGTTGTTACAGTTGTTGGATAAGTGAGTTTCATCTTTTAGTAGAGTCGACTGCTAGAACTACCCCTAACGAAGAGTATAGTACGTCGCCTTGGCTTTCTGTTGGACAAATACCCTCGCCAGGAAAGTAGCTTGAAATTGCACAATAAAGTTTCTCCGCGTGAAACTTTATTTCCAAGATAATCAACCTTGGAAGTTTCTCTAATATGGTTGCCTCTGACATATCTCTCCTGTGAGTACAACCAAGGAAAACATTCGCGATCCATTCTACACATCGTCGGTGATGCTTCGAGACTTGGTTAAACGTTTATTGACAATCCAACGGAATGACAGCAATAATCTATTCCTACAGCATACATAGAAACAAAACAAGAAACTCCCGTCATTAATAATTTATATACGAACCATAGAAGGAAAACCTAAGACCCTAATTATCAAAGAAATCTAAGACAAACAACTAATTCCAGACTATACATCCTACTTAGCCAAACTGCGACTCAAGATCGAAAAAATAAAATATACAGAATGTATTCCTCAGAATAAATCATAAACAAAAATAAAATAAAATTTAAATAGCACATAATTAAGCACTCCAGATGGTTTTGTAATCTATCAGCAACTGCAACTAATTTTTATAGTATCCCTGAAAATGAGAAATGCTATAACATTTCTTAGATCCTTTATTTCCCTTCTTAGTGCAAAATTTGGATGAGTGAAAAATCTAATAATCTCAGGGTAGTTTCTTTAACATTAGAACTCCCGAGCATTTGATACGATTAATATGCAATTCCTATAAAAATTGTAACAATAGATTATTTTCAGTCGAATTTCACTCGAAATCCCGACATTCCAGCTGTCGCTATAAAATCCATCGAAACATGTTATACACCGTAACGATCGATCGATCAAATTAACAACACACATTCCACATGTCTCTATAAAATTCTCTAACACTTATTTCCATCCGCAGGCTTCCGGTACCATTTATCGAATTGCGGCCTCGAAATCCCGACTTTCCAGCTGTCGCTATAAAATCCATCGAAACATGCTATACACCATAACGATCGATCGAATGAACGACACATATTCCACATGTCTCTATAAAATTCTCTAACACTCATTTCCGTCCGCAGGCTTCCGGTACCGTGGCTGCTGTACGGTCTGATCTACGGTAAACCGGTGGAGGTGAACTCAGTGGGTATGGTGTGCAGCATAGCGATCCTGTTCTGCATGCTGTTGTTCGTGATAATGAGCATCGCGTGCTTCAAGTGGCGGATGAACAAGGGCCTCGGGTTCACCATGTTCCTCCTCTACTTCGTCTTCGTCGCGGTCTCGCTGATGTTCGAGTACGAGATGCTGGTCTGCCCGGTCTAGGAGCGGGACGCCCTCGAACGGGCCGGAAGGAGGAACACCGGTGTCCGTCGTACGGTCGACCGGCGCGTCGACGCACACATACGGGTCTCGTCATCTCGTCATCATCATCATCGTCGTTGCTGTCATCGGCGATCGGCGACCGGACAGCGCGCGCGTCAGCTTCCTCGGCGCCGAAGGAGGAGCCACGTACGCAGCCTATCTCGAGGACCAAATTTCCCTCGATGCCGTCGACGTGTCCCCAACCTTCGCCCC